TCATTTAGATAGCCATCACCAACCCAGCCGCACAACGGTTGTTTACCATTAGATTGGAAATTCCGGTAATTCCGGTTTTTCTAGCTGTAAATGGTACAACCTTCTCCCATCGGAAAATTTCTGGTAAAAGTGGAAATGCTCAATAGGTACCCCGTTTGTTCCAGTGAGCCCAGAATAACCGGAKATGCGCGTACCATTTACGCTTTTYCACACGTGCATGCRTGYATGCACTTTTTAAAAATCTTTATTTCTATTATGGTCACGTCTGAAGAGCGTTAAGAATTCACCGAAAATATGTATATCGTCATCATCGCAAAGTATTTCGGAATCAATATCGACACCAAAGCTTCGTCCAACAATACCAAAGTGTTGACATTTGCCGCCATTTTGTACTTATTTTTATTTGACTGCCTTAAAACCCTTCAATGCACATTAAATTAAAGGAGAGTATTCGTAAAACTTACAACTTTTAGTGACTTCATTTAGAAAAAAATCGTTCTATGATTTTTTTGAATGCCGCTTTCATAGATACTTTCTATCGCTTTTGACAACGAATGGGGTCATTTGGCTTCATATCAAAAAATCCATAACGTTAGAAAGAAAGTCACAGTTTGACTCATACTCAATAAGGACAGTGTCTATATCCGTTTCAATGCGGCTAGGTGTGCCAGACCAAAACTACCCAGAGCCTCCTTAATGGCGGACTCAAACGGCCAAACTTTACCGGCTAAATACAACATCTTCCCAGTCTCGTATCGAAAAAGAATTTGGACAGTAAGGTATATTACATACCTGGTTTTATATGGTACAATTTCCAGGGATGGTGTCATTTTAGTAAGACTAGCACTTTAGCTTTTTAATTGTAAATTGCAAGTTTATTATTTATAGTTATTATTATTCATATTATAGTTCTTTTCTATGTATATATTGTTATGTGCACGACTTTCATGTAAACCAGTTGTATCAACTGATGAAATCTCTTGGATAAATAAAGCTCATCCATTCGTTCTTTCTTCTGATGATGAGACGTGCAGCTCGCAGCTACCGAGTTAGCATGCTTATGAAAATGGCAGTMAAAGGAGGAAATAAAAAAGCGCGCGCAGCATGGAATATGGCGATTGATTGATTTTTAAAGTTCAAAAAGTGATGAATTGCTGATTTTCAAAATTGTTTTCCACTGTCGACACGGAAGGCAACGATAATAATTGATCAGTATACTAGCATGATTTGAAATGATTAAAGGGATTTCAGTAACGCATAAAATGAAAAATCTGCGCACAAACTATCACCCTTAAGGCGCATGCCTTTGTACGTTGATATAAACAGGCTGGAAGCTGCGGTAAAGTACGAGAAAAGCAAGCTTAGGAGCAAGAGACGTAGCCGAGCGTTTCTCTTGCTTCTCGAGTGCTCTACAGCTCTTAGAGTATTAATGCCACAATACAGAGACATTAAAGCAGCCATTGTATATTGCTTTTATTAAGTATTTTTTAGCAATATAAACAGTCAAACAGTGTTATATTTAAACTATTTTATAAATCATTATTTATATTTAGCCACCTCCGCAGGCTATTCCGTACATTCTCCGTTGGGATCTCTGTGTTAAATCTTATGGCAGAGAAGAACTAGGAACGAGAAACGAGAGAGGAGGAGGAGTGGGGATGAGGGAGGAAGAGAAAAAGCGAGAGGAGTGCTGAGAGGAGTAGCTTGCCAAAAATCGAAGTGTACACYCTGTGGACGCGTAAATTCACCCCGGTACCCCATAGAGCTTGTTTGCTTGACATAAACACATCACTGGTGTGGGGTGACCTTAGTTTTTATTGTGCATTTCAATATGCCGTCGTCGAACCGTGGTGGTCACAAGTATTTAGCATTCAAGTTAAAAATTCCACGTTATAAACATAGTAAGATTCCTGTTTACAGACTTGGATACAGAAGGGTAAACAATGAGTTAAAAAAACGCGGTTGGCCATGGAAAATAAATCTAACGAAACCGGAAACTTGAGAGTTCCAAAAGCTTAAAGTTCGCAGGTCGGTGAACATGAGTTGGTTGATTAGGAGGTTGAAGAACCGAAAACTTCGTAACGTTCGCTGCGAAGTTCAGTAATCTTTTAATTGCTGGGATACCTGTGGTATACCAGCTATAAAATGCCTTTGTTTTTTTGTTGTTTTTTTTTTTCTCCGCGACAAAATGGCAAAGTTGCRCAATAGTTACCCAGGRGTCTTCAGGAACTTACCCAAGAGACCTTTGCGGGCATATGCTATGGGGTTCCCGTCTATACTCCAATCAATTATCATATACCAGATGTCAATCAATGTAACTATGTTGTCAAGTGATTATGAGAGGGCGGAGCTAGCAGATCACGTGGCACAGGCTTATGTCTACGCATGCTCTATTTCGTTGACCACCGTAATTCAAGACAGCCGAACTAGAAATATTTTAATAAATTAAAATTTATCAATTTTCAAGCCAAGAAGATAGGGGGAGGATTTCGAAGCGATTATTTCTAAGAATTTTCAATGAACTTCATGAGCGAAAGCTTGTTTTGGTTTATCTATTCATGATTCACCTACTAGAACAGTATTTTCTGCACGAACAAGCGAAGATCGATGAGGAGAATAGGGTTTCAAGAGTCAGCATTACGATAAGCGATAGTAAACAAATATTTCATTCAGTATGTTTCGTTATTCTCTTGAACTTGACAATATAGTCTTATAACCTATATTTATGCATTTATATTAACTGTTTTGGCTTCAAAGTCTATTCACAAAGGAACATGAGGTACATAGCAATATTTATTTTAAGATTCTATTTGATTTTAAGAAGCAAAATAAATAATTTTCTACGCATATTCCAGGCATTTGATCTTTGCCGTGTTCGAAGCGTATATTATCTCCTTTGATTTTTCTTCAAAAAAATGGCGATTCATTAAAAAATATCGATAAATTATAAAATGTAAAGCAATTATGAGAGAGGTTTTGAGTAAATATTAGCCTGTATTTACGTTTTACATGAAGCATTTTGATTTTAAAGCGAGCCGTGCGAATGTGCATGCTTTTTAACAACAAGCTAATTACTTATGCCAAAACCCGGATCCCGGAACTGGAATTGGAGTTCCAGATTGAGTTTTTTGATCCAGGTATCCCAGCTTACCTTCTTGTTTTTAAACATTGTAGCTTCATAGCAGTGACGCATGCGCGCAATTGGTATAACGTAACGTTGACATTAAAATGCAGCGGAATAAAGAGAGCAGCTTTTTAAAACACGAATTTCAGACTTCTTTTCCGCCCATGTTTTAGCTCATTTCTGATAATTGTTCTGTCACTTCTATGTGACTAATTAACAATTAGATTACGAGGTCGAGATTTCTATGAGTCAATAGATAGTCGATGAGGCGCGTAGCGCCGAATCGACTATTTGACTCATAGAAAACCYAGATCGAGTAGTCTAATGGTTTTAGCATAAACCTACTASCTAATATTATAGCATTGAAAACAAAGAATGACACTGAAAAMTTTACTGAACAAAGCAACGGTCAACCGGCGTCACTGTTTTCATTCATCTTTGCGAACTCCAAGTAGTGCAATACTTGTATAGCTTTTTGTCTCTATTTTTACGGTTAAAACTATCTTTCCAATATTTTCCACCTTTTTATCTGTTCTTGGGAACTCATTTCCTAATTGAATGAGTGATAAACTGAACGGATTTATTCCAAATATTTTGTTGTCAGAACATTCAAAGCCGTGCCATGTTTACAATTCGCTTAAGATTCTTGTCAGTTAACTTGCACTTTCTTTATTGTTTCGTCTGTTCTTACTGTTTTAAAATTCTTCTTGAATACATGTGAATAAGTTGTCTCTTGGATTTCTTCTGTTTTTGGAGGAAATAATTATAAAACAACATCGTTATCTCAGTAGTCAGTTGTTTGTYATTTGTTATTTGCTYATGAATATCTCAATGAAATCTGACGGCCAATTTTTCGTGTTAAAATTGCCATAATTCTTCAGTTTATTTATCTGTACTGTCCAATACCTCTCCATTCCTTTCCTTGATACAGTCTTGTATTTTCTATAATCGAGAACAAGCAGAGATTTCGACGAAGCTTAAGCACTATGCATTTGTTCGTTTTTCGCTACTCGTTATCTATCACAGGATAGATAGTGAGTACGTTAGCCAATTAGATTGCAGGATTCGTGATAGTATGCTAGTAGGTTTATGCTAACTATCATTAGGGAGCCGAATAACGCAATTAAAGCCCTCAGTCATGCTTCATAGATGTCAATAAAAAACATGACTTACTCATACACCAGTCTGAAAATATCACCAATTGTCTATAGAATATTCATTTTCTATAAACTYGGTAAGAACAAATATTTTCATTCATCAAAAACGTTCTTGCTCGCTCATCCCAACCTCCAACCACATTTACCAACCGCTGTTTTACTGCTTCGAACAATGGATGCTGAAGAGACACTTCCATCAAAGTAGTTACATTATTTAATAYTGTTGATATTATAATTAATTAACAAAATTATCGCTTCACTATACCACGAGTAAGGTTACCAACAAAGATCCCATCGTGTTTTAACGCGTTGTGTCAATAAACTATAGCTTGTTTAGTTAACTAAGTGTGTAAGTCCATAAAATTATTGACTTTAATCTTAAATCTTATTAAAAGCTCTTCTATTGATTGAAATAATATTGTTATTTGACTTCGATAATTCAGGGCCGCGAAGTCTGAATGAATAGAAAAAAGAGTAATAATATCTGTAATTTAATCATGAGTTTGACTTYSAGTTTGTTTCAGTGATGTATTGTTTTCTCCCTTATTACGAGGGTTTTTTTCCATGTTCTCAGGTTGTGCCAGCCATCCTCCTTCCGTCAAAAAGAAAACATTTGAGTTATGTGTTGTGTGTTGTAAATAACACGGAACCTCGTGGAAGAGCCCTTTACGGTGACTGATGGTTGACATGGAAATTGGAAGGGAAGGATATCGAAATGATTTGAACCAAAAAGTACATTTAAACCAACAAATTARAAAGGCTTAARATTGGCTAACAGAACGTTTTGTCCAAAAACAAGTTTAAAAATCGTGTTTGAGGTTTAGCTGTCTTTATTCCACAGCATGATTCAGTGAGTTTTACCCACAACCTGTTTTCCTGTGTTGGCTGATCGCGAGTGCCGAAGAGAAAAACTGCTGAAATGAAATTCTTGAGGTTTGAATTTATTCTGATCAGCTTGTTTATTGTCAGTGAATGAAAACAAGTCACCAAAACCAAAACGAATGGCGATGTATATCATATTTTTTTTGGAGGTGCGGCTAATTCCAAGCAGTTTTCCGGTGCCCTGAAAGCCATCGAAGAGAAATTGAATGTCATCATGGAAAAAATGGGAGCATCGTTAAACAAAACTGGTACGTTCTAGTATGAAAGGAGGTATTGTTAACAATTCTTAAAGCAATCATATGTCATTGCTATTCTTGTTAGCGAAGTTTATCGTCGAATGAAATYGCAGTATACAAACACAACGCTAGAAATTAGCACAATTCTTTTATTTTCAGTGCCCAAAAACTGTGCTGAAGTTCTTAGAAGAGGTGGCAAAAAAAGTGGTGTTTACACAGTCGATCCCGGTGACGGTAAAGGACCATTCAAGATAAATTAACTTTACAAAATTGGATACTATTTTTTTGATAAGTTGAATGAAACAATTGTTGTGTGAATGTGGAAGAGTTGAAGTCAGGTATCTTGACTTCTATCGAAGTTGGGCTGACTACAAGAACGGTTTTGGTGACCTGAAAGGCGAGTTCTGGTTGGGACTGGATAAAATCAACCGGTTGACCCATCAGACTCGTAACCGTCTTCGTGTTGACCTACAAGACATCAAAGGGAACAGCGCTTATGCTGAGTACGACTACTTTGCTGTGAGCAGTGAAAGAAGCAAGTACAAACTTAGCCTTGGAACTTATTCAGGTGAGGTAAATAACCTAGTGCTCACTTTTAACATTAAAAAAAGAAAAAAGAAAAAGAAAAAGAAAAAAAAGACAAGAAAAAAAAGAAAAAAAAGCGTTTGGAAGTTTGTTTCTCTTGACTAAGTCATAGATCGTTTGTATAATTATTTTCCAAAAAGGATAGGAAAGATATACCCAGTTCCCTTTCTTCTGTTTTTCTTGTAAATCCGTGCAGAGATCCTCGCGCAACACCTTTGGCGCCAATAAGAATACATGGAATTGACTTTAACATCTTTACTTATATAATTATCGTTTTCACTCGTAGGCACTGCTGGTGTCTCACTCTCCTACCATCGTGGTATGGCCTTCACCACCAAAGATCGTGACAATGATGTCCATGGTTCAAACTGTGCCGTACTTTCCAAAGGTGCCTGGTGGTACAAAAGCTGTCATTACTCTAACCTGAACGGCCTGTATCACCACGGGAAAGTTAGAAGTGATGGTGTTATCTGGTATCACTGGAAAAACAAATACAACTCTGCTRAGAGAGCCGAGATGAAGATACGACCTGCATAAAATACTTGTTGACGTACCAGTCTAAAAATCTCCATTAAGAATCAAGCTCTTAACTTTAAAAATAAATATACTGTTAATTATGAAGAATGTAAAAGATTTAATTCCATTAGCATCACATGGAAGAAAGCCAGAACTTTCTGTAAAAAATGTGTGCGGTAGAAGGCGTGACAGTCACGCATTGTTGGTCGACTAAAATCTTGTAGAATTTAAAAATTAAAATAAAATAATACAGCATGGAAAATGGTGGTTGATTGATTGAAATAGAGATTGCTCATTTCCAAAAATTTTTTTWAAATCTCATCTCAAATCATACATACACTGAATCAGATTTACATCAAATACAACCATAGACCAAATGCTGAAACCCACCCCAATGGAGGCCCAACCCGCGAACGAAGCGATCCCGCGCGATCCGTGACTTTAAATCACGCCAGATACCCCTCATTTCCAAAGTTGTTTTGTACTTTCGTATCAAAAGGCGATGATACCAATGGACATGACAGTCACGCATTGTTTGTCGACGAAAATCTTGTAGAATTAAAAAATTAAAATATATTACTGCAGCGTGAAAAATGGTGGTTGATTGATTGAAATAGAGATTGCTCATTTCCAACGCTGTTTTGCACTTTCACGCGTATCAAAAAGCGATGATACCAATGGATATTGAAATTATAACACATAATGAGTTATTATACACAAACAAAGAAATTTGCAACAATTTGGGAGACAGTCTGTTTTTTGTTGGTTTTTTTTTTCAGTTTTTCTTTTATAATTGTTTTTACACAATTTCACTCTTCATTAGCGAACCCATTTCTGTCAATTTTGTATACAAAAGATAAATTAATTTGAAAATGAAAYGCAAACAATATTTTCTAAAAGCGCCTTAAAGACCCATTGCCACTTACCGTGATGCACCGCGGTCACAGATGAATTTCGTGGTCCATGAAATTCAAATATTCATATATTGAATAATAACTTCAAATTAAATCCTTTTCCGACATAGCACTAAGGTACAATAATAATTCTTTTACATTCTTTTAAGAGTTTATTCAAAAGGTTAGAATTATTTTTTCAGTGGTGGCACGATTCAAAATGTAAACAAATTGTGATGCATCACGGTAAGTGGCAATGGGTCTTTAAAGGACGGCGAAAATGAAGCWTAAGTTTGTTGATAAAGTTGACGTCAATGCAAAATGTTATCGTACGTTAGCCTACCACAGGTAATCTACCTGCAACAATATTTAAAAAATCAAATTTTATATAGTCATTTATCTAGTCGTCATTATTTATATTTAGCCTCCGTTGGGATCCCTGTGTTAAATCTTATGGCAGAGAAGAACTAGCAACGAGAAACGAGAGAGGAGGAGGAGTGGRGACGAGGGAGTGAGAGAAAAAGCGAGAGGTGTGCTGAGAGGAGTAGCCTGCCAAAAATCGAAGTGTACRGACGAGTAAATTAACCCCGGGACCCCATAGGACTTGTTTCACCCTTGACATACACACATCACGTGGGTGGCCTTAGTTCATTGATATTTTCGTATGCGCAATCAACATGCGCGAACTGTCAACTAGTTGCTCATTTTTGGCAGGCATCTCCTCTTCTTCTTTCTCCCTCCTATCCCCCTTCCCC